AAAAGAAGATACACCTGAGAAGCAATATCTCTTCACCTCTGGTATATTCCTTGAATGATTTTAGTCACTATCTTTTCAATATTTTGTAAAGAAAGGTTATCAGAGGCCAAGTCTATAATTTACTGGTACTGATTAATGAAGGCAAGGGCCATATCGTTCTAAGAATGAATACGAGTTTTATCCAGCTAGACATACCATCTAGCAACAAAGCTCATAAGGCTATCTTGGAACACATGCATTAACAGTTTTTTATTATTAGCATAGGCTGTCATCTTTCGACAGTACATGGTAATATGAGTATTTGGACACTTAGTACTATTATACTTTTCAAACTTTAGCACTTTAAACTTCAGAGGGACAATAACATTCGGGACTAAACAAAGCCCAGCAACATCTACTGAACCATAAAAACCAATGCCCTCTATGGCTCTAACATTTCTTTTAACAAGTTTGACTTTTGAGGCTTCTAAAGTCTCATCCTCCTTGGGCCTCAGCTTTTCTTTCTCTTTTGGATCATTCAAATTAGGGACTGGTACTGGTTCTACTACCTTCTCGATAAAGACAGGATTTACATAACTCTGATACTATCTTGGATTTAAAGCTGATGGTATTCCAGAATATGTGTATCCTACAAGGTATGTGAACTGACGGGGTGGTGGATCTTGTGCGGGTTGGGCTTGATGTGGCCCAAAACTAAGAGGGTACAGTGGGTCATCCACCTCTTGTAATAGATGGTCTTGTTGGCTAGTACTTTCTTCTATACCCTTTCCCTTGTTTAATTTGTTTAAAGCCTCTAAAATCCTATTCAACTCCCCTTCTAGCTTCTCTTAAGCTTTTTCTATCATCTTGAGACGATTAAAATTTTTTTGTTCTATTTGTTTGGTTCGAGCTCTTGTGTTGTATTGGTGAGTTGATTGTATGAGATGTTTGATTGGTGCAACTATACTTGAACCTTGAGTACCATAATTATAATAAAAAATGTTATGCTTTATGCATGATATGTTAATGCATAAATGAAATGTGTATTTTCATGGATGAAATTTAATATGAAAATGATGCAGATGCACAATGACAATGAAAATGATGTATGCAAATGCACAAAGTCAAACAAAAAATATAGTTAGATCACAAACTTTTTTTTTTTTGTGTCCTAACTTCGAGTTACATCTATCACTGGGTAGGAAGGCTCTATCCTAAGGCTGGACTATTAAGTGTACACTATATGTAGGGTTAAGTGATATTACTACTAAAAGTTCTTAAATTGTTCTTTACATTATTTTGAGAATTTGAGATTTTTTAAAAAAAATTCTTTTTTTCTCCTAAACTCAAAAATCTTCAAAAAACTTTTAGATTGCTTTCTGCTTGTGATTTTTTTTATTCTAGTTTCTATGTGGGCATGTATTTATAAAGTTCTGAATATGAAAACTCCAATCCAGAAAGAAATTTTAATTTCTTTTGAATTTCAACCTTAAATCTAACTTCAATTTTACAAACCAGTTTCAACAATTTCAAACAAACTCAACTACCTATTTTTTTATTTTTTTTATTTTTTTATTAACAAAATTAACTTAAGTAAAACTTCAGATAAATTAAAATATCTACATGTATAATTTTTTTAATTATGATAAAAAAAAACAACAAATGAAAAGAAATAAATTTTCTAATACCTCCTTCGAATATCTATTATGTTAGTATTACGCTTAAAAAGTTTGTCAAATGAGACGTCGGTAGTATATCTTTAAAAAAATTATAAACTCATAAAATTCATCTGTCGTTTATGCCATTGAGACGTCTTTTCATTTTTTCTGTTTCCCAACCACTATGAAATTTCCTTTTTTTTTTTTTTTCCTTTTGGTTACTTGGAGCTTTAAAAAGCAAATTTGAGAAGCTAAAAGCATTGTTCGTCCTTTTCTGGTTATGGTCAAATGCTCATTTGATTTACATTGTAGGCAGGCAACTTTTAATAGTATGAAACCGGTTTAAAGCTTCAATTATATGGTTACGTGGCTTCTTTATATATCAAGTGATGACAATTGAATGCTGGGGTGAATGCATCTACAATTCCTCCAATTTTTATCAAAGCTTTTTTTTTTTTGAATTTGAATTTTTTTTTTATTTTGAAACAAATTAAATTCGTGGTTTTAGTAAATAGATACATATACAATTATAAATAAGATTTTTTTTTTTATAGTTGCACTTACAAATAAGTTGAATAACCGGTTACCTATATTTTTATTACGAAGCTAAATAAAATCCTTATTCTTCAATAATATTAGTTGTATGCACATGTACTGTGTTGGTGAAATATTAAAGAAAAGTTTCCTAACATAAAAATTAAGAAAAAAAAATTAAAATTTTAAGTTATCTAAATATGAAAAAAAAATTGAAACAAGTTAGTGTCAATGAAAATTTGGTTTAATGATAAAAAAAGATCGAAAACTTTAAAATTATAGGTTCAAATTTTATTTTTAGAAATATTATCTCATTTCAATTTTTTACATATAAACCTTAAATATTTTCAAATATATGTGCCTTATCTGAATCCAAACCCATTAGGCCAAAAGAGTAAAATGTAGATGAAGTTTCCACTATTTAATTTAAAAGGTGTTAAATACACTTTTAATTAAATTTATAGTTAAAATTTAATGATTTTTAATTGAATATAAAAATAATTAAAAATAAATTTGTTTGAATTAATTTCAACCATTCTACTAATTTTTAAGTAGTAAAGAGGACTTTTTTTTTATCATAAATAAATAATGGATCAAATTGATAAAATTTTTACTTTAATAATTTTAACTAATTTATTTTACATTCTTTTATAACTTTATATATTATTAATATTTGGATAAATTGATAATTAGATTTAATAACGTATTTGTACCTATCATAAGCATTACGTTTCAAGTCCACTCGATATCTCAATCACTGTTATCAAAATTAATATTTTTAAATATATATTAAATATTAAAATTTTATTATTATCAAACAAATAGTTAAATATTTTTAATTAACTTAAAATTTAGCATTGATTTACTTAAATAAAATAAATAATTCAACAGTTATTATAAATCATATAAAAATATGTGAAAAATGTAAAACTAATACAATTATTAATTTTATACAATTATTTTAAATATAATAAAATAACAAAGTAATTCACATGCCATAAACAGAACCTTCATCGAATCTGTACAATGTACATACACACTTCTAGTTGTTGGTAACTTTCCCAAAATAGTAGTAATGCCATTACTCTTCCCATTTGATCCCAACCATTTTCCCTAAATGCTCCAACCATTCTGGAATTTGAGTTTCCTTTTCCTTTCTTTTATATCAAATTAATTCCCACAAATTTGGCTCAAAGCTTGTGAAATAGCGGTGACATGTTTGAACCCTGAAATGACTTCTCATCATTTAAAATTTTGCACCACAAAAGAAAATTCAGCATGAGGTTGCTCAGACATTTAGAGAGAGCATAATATCTACGTTCCTTGTCAAAATTTTCCACTTAATTCCACGTTTTGGCCTAACGACATGGCGGCAAATTGTAGGCAGCTATGCTTTATGTCCCTAAATATTGTATTTTCCATGGGCTAAAATTATGATCGATAGATGTTGGTAGGTTGAGAAAAAAAAAAATAGAAATTGTATTATTTTATTTGGATCTAAATTTAAATATTAAATATTTTAATTTGATTTATTTTTTGTATAAAAAATAAATAAAATTAAATTGTATATTTTTATTAATTTATATAGTTTTTAAATTTTTATAAAATAAAATAATTATTTTATATTTAAAATAATATTAAAATACTTCCTTTCTAATTCTAAATTTGGGGCTAAATTATTTTTCGCCTTTTATCATGTGGCTAAAAAATTATAAAAAAAATATTAGAGTTTGAGTTCGAATCGAACTCCCTTTTTTCTTTTCATGTTGCAGGGCGTTGTCCTACTTAAAAAAAAAAAAAAAAATGGGGCTAAGTTATCTTCATACCTCTTCAACTGTATCCATCGAATGCTATTCCTATTCGTCATATTACTTCTCTTTTCATGGTTTGGAAGAAAATTTTAATTTGAAAATTTCTTTTTAAAGGAAATAGTTGTCGATTGAGTTATAATTTTGCGATAAATCAATCTGTTTTAAATTTTTTGAATAAGTAGTATTTCATTATTTAAAGGGAAAAAAAAAACTTGTTATCCAAAAAATAATACAAATTGTATTATAAAAATTTCTTATACAATCTCTCAATTTTGACGTAAAATTTTAACAGAAAGATTTGTTGTATTTTTTTTTTTATAAATTTAGATAAACGAAAATTTACAACAAAATTAATATCTTACAAAGTAAACGAAAAAGAATTGCCAATTTTAAAATTATTAATCCCAACATTAGCACAAAAATTTAGCAAAAAATGAGATTTATTTACTAATTAGGTCATCAAATAAACAAAAATGGAACATGATTAATGTGTTTTTTATGAAATGTGAGGGACGGCTAAGATTTGGGTTTATCTGAGGGTCTGCGGTCCACGAGTGGACTGGAGTGAAAAAGCCGAGCAGCTTCCTTCAATACGCGAAAAGGAACCTTGGTCAGAATTACACTCAAAAGAGCCACCAGTACAAACAAACCAAAAAAAAAAAAAAAAAAGGAAAAGAGCGAACAAAAAGTGGGTCCAATCCCACCGAAAGGACCTAAAGCCCAAGAATGGATAGATATTTCAACGAGCAAAGCGACTACAGCCATAGATTTAGCCTGTCGTAGATAACGGGTCCAGTTTTAAGTCTTCTATATGATTTTTATTTCCTGTACTTTTACCATTATTTCCCAATTTTCCTTTATTTTTTAATTTTTAAAAACAACCACAGCATCAGACAAGAAAAAAGTTGCATCCATTAATGTTTGAAACGAAACTCACGAATAAATAAATTGGAATAAATTTGACTTGAATTTGTTAATGTTATTTTTCTGACCAACAAACCCATTTCGCGTGAAACTTCTATAAATACCACACTTTCAATTTCGACTCTGCATTAAAGAAATCGAAGCTTTTTCACTACACCCAAAGTAAAAGAGTGAGACTTTGAGAGATTTTTTGGGAAAAAAAGGAGTGGTGAGAGAAATGGCAACTTTCCCTGTTATCAACTTGGAGAAGCTTAATGGTGAGGAGAGAGCAGCGACCATGGAGAAAATCAAGGATGCCTGTGAGAATTGGGGCTTTTTTGAGGTATCAAAAGCTTTGCTAGCTATAGTTCTATACTCTATTCTGCTTTATATTTTGCTGATGTGGCGTGCCGACTCTTTTTTTTCAGCTGCTGAATCATGGGATTCCCCATGATTTTCTGGACACCGTTGAAAGAATTACCAAAGAACATTACAAGAAATGCATGGAGCAGAGGTTTAAGGAACTGGTAAAAAGCAAGGCCCTGGAGGGTCTCCAGGCAGAGGTGACTGATATGGATTGGGAAAGCACATTCTACTTGCGCCATCTTCCTGAATCAAACATTTCTGAAATCCCAGATCTCACTGATGAATACAGGTATAGAGGGAGCAAATTATAAGTTTCTGGATGAAGGCAAATGTTCTAGATTGAATAACAAAAAAAAAAAAAAAGTCCCCTGCTCATGGTGCTTATTTGGAGCGCAACAATTTTTCCCACTAAATTTCTTTCCTGGAACAGTCAGCATTGGTTAACGATGTCCTCTCTTTCTTGATGAATGAATATAATACTGCATAATTAGACTATCATTAGCTTTAGAATAATACCAAAATAATTATAGAAAAAAAAAATCCCATTGTTTTGGAAAATTGAAAGTCCAAATAAAAAATTGCAGGAAGTTGATGAAAGAATTTGCATTGAAATTGGAGAAACTAGCAGAGGAGCTCCTGGACTTGTTGTGTGAGAACCTTGGACTAGAGAAAGGATACCTGAAAAAGGCCTTCTATGGGCCAAGAGGTCCAACCTTTGGCACCAAAGTGAGCAACTACCCACCATGCCCAACACCAGATAAAATCAAGGGACTCAGAGCGCATACAGATGCAGGTGGCATCATCTTGCTCTTTCAAGATGCCAAAGTGAGCGGCCTCCAGCTTCTTAAAAACGGCGAGTGGATCGATGTTCCCCCCATGCGCCACTCCATTGTTGTCAACCTTGGGGATCAGCTCGAGGTATGCACTCAATTTCACCAAATCTTTAGCCGAATACATTTTGCTTTTGACTCGGTACTGAAGTAAATCTATCAGAAGCGAAATTTAAACTTCAAATCTTGATTTCTTAAATACGCAGGTGATCACCAATGGCAAATACAAGAGTGTGGAGCACAGAGTGATTGCCCAAACCGACGGAGCTCGCATGTCAATAGCTTCATTCTACAACCCTGGCAGTGATGCTGTTATCTACCCAGCACCAGCTCTGCTGGAGAAAGAAGTAGAGGAGAAGAAACAAGTGTACCCAAAATTTGTGTTTGAAGACTACATGAAGCTATATGCTGCACTGAAATTCCAGGCCAAGGAACCAAGATTTGAAGCCATGAAAGCCATGGAAACAAATGTTCCCATTGCAACAGCTTAAATCCTGGAGCTTATCATCGAGAAAAGGCTTTTATTATATTATTTCAAACTACTTTGAAGTGGTGTGAAAAAGACTTAAAAGACTCGGATTTTTACTATAGATGTGTGTTGATTTATTATTGTAAACATCATCGGCAATTTCTATTCTACAATAATATTTTATTACTATTATGAACTAGTAAAATGGATCACTGTTTTTCACTTTGATTATTTTATTTTGTGGGTGGATCTAATGATCTCTTCATAGGAGAAACAAAACAATTAAAAAATCACTTAAAAGGGAAGGTGGGTTGCAAGATTTTTCCAACCTCTTGCAATAGATTTTGATGAAAACGTATTTGGATTGACAAAGTGGAGTAAATGCCATTATTTATCGAATCCATCTTCAGTGTTGGAAACAATCTTAAAAACAGAACAACGTTAAAGTAGCGACCACCTTGGCCAAGCCGAAGCTGGTGGTGACTTAAAGAATCAATAAGTACAGCTGCAGAAGCAGAAAAATGCAGAACAAGAAGATATGAGATGATCGCATGAATAAACTGCCTGTTTTTCTTGCTGTAGCAGCATACCTAAACTCAAAACAGACTTCATTACGAAGGCGAGATCTCACAAGTTATTGAATCATTGACTATTTTCTTATGTATTTCATTGCTACAGTTGCAGCAAGAAAAGTAGTTATAACTTGAAATTTGTTTGATAAAAGCAGTTATTTAGGGTCGTTTGGCATTGTTACATGTACAAATAGTTAAATAGATATATAGCATGATAAATTCAACATCATCTTGAATCAATTTCACGCACGATAATGTTTAAATTTGAGATCTCAAGATCTTGTAACTTTCTCCTTCTCCTCATTGGCTCTATTTACGGATTAAATGTTACTTCTTCAACATTCACTACAAGAAAATGAAAGATTAGTGACAGTTTTGTAGCAGCGTTTCACTTACAAACGCCGTTAATTTTTGTATCTTTATCGAATTTAAGGCATTTACTATCAAAATGCCACTAAATATACCAATAGCGGCGTTGTTACTTATAAATGCCATTAAAGACAAAAATTAACGGTGTTTATCGACTAAAGCGCTTGAATAATCTTTTTTAAAAAATTAGAGTGATTATTGAAGTTTTTTTTTTTTGTAGAAAACGCTTTGAATAATTTTCTCATAAAAAATGGATAGGGGATTATTGAAGATATTTTTGACAGACAACGCTTTGAATAATCCTCTCATAAAAATAGAAGAGATTATTAAAGGCATTTTCTATAAAAAAAAATAACTTCAATAATTCTTCATTTTTTAAGAAAGGATTTTTAAAAGTATTTTTTACCTAAAACGCCTTCAATAATCTTCTCATAAAAAATGAAAGGGATTATTGAATACATTTTTTTGCAGAAAACTCTTTCAATAATCCACTCTAAAAAAATAGGGGAAATTATTGAAGAATAATCTCCTTATCAAAATTTAAGGGGATTATTGAAGGCATTTTTTTTACAGAAAACGTCTTCAATAATTCCCTTTAAAAAATTTAAGAGGATTATCAAAGCTGTTTTTGCTTGAAACACTTTCAATAATCTTTTTTTGCAAATAATAACCTTTTTTTAAGTAAACGCCGCTATCATGAAAAAATGGTGTGGCTAAAATTTTTTCCTAAAATTTAAACCCCTCATTTCTTCTCTGTAATTTTTTTTCTTTTCCCAGCTTTTTTTTTTTTGGAAGAGAATGACGAGAAAGAAAATTCAAATCAAGAAGATTTATAACGTAGCAGCGAGATAAATGACTTTCTCAATGAGGAGTTAAAGACTTTTCAAGAAAACTTATGAGCTTTCCACTCTTTGTGATGCTGAGATAACTCTTTTAGTCTTTTCAGCCACTGGAAAGCTCTTTCAATACTCTAGCATAAAGTTACTCTCATTTATCTCATATCTATATGTGAATATTTTGCCTTGATTCTTACTCTATCTTTGCTAGTTTAATATAGAAATCTTGGCCTGCTGTTCGATTTAATGTGTCAAATGTGCTTGGGTGAGTGTGAAGGGAAGTGAGAAACATAATTGTTTTGAAAAAAGATCTTTTGAATCAAAAGAACTGTATAAAAGTATAAATTCATGATAATTGAATGTACTTAAATATTTTATTCTATTATAAAAAGAACTTTTTTTAATAATTTGTCAGAAGCTAAAGGATTTTGGGGTGGGAGGCCATGGTTTCACATAAATGTCTGTATGATATTTGTCGATGCTTGTTCATATTTTTTTGAACCTTGTTTAAGCCATATTTTATGACTAATCAACTATTTTATAAGAAGTTTATGCTTTCCATATATCTTTGCTGGTGCAACTTAAAGCATAAATTGATATTTTATCATTCATTTTTCTTGTCAGAACTTGATCTGCTGTCATTTTCATTTTCTCTCCAACCAAACAGCTTTTAATTTTAGTTTTCTTAATTGAATCTTGTTACAATTTTAGGTTTCCTATACTTTTTTTGAATTTTCTTTAAGGTTTTCATAATGAAATTTACAAATTCTCATGATTTCCTTTTCAAATTATGTAAAATTCACGTTGAACTCAAATATGGTTTCAAAATCGCACACCTGACCTATCTTCAGTCTTTTGATCAAAACTTAGTGAATTCTAGCTTGATTTACTTCAATTTTTTTTTCTAGATTCCTAGTTCATAAAGCTATAATCCTGTAAAATTTCAACCTCAAATTTCATCTTTACAAGTACAATTAATTCTTCAAAGTTAAGGCTGAATCTAGAAGGCAGAAACAATCCATGCATGAGAACTTGATGAATGATGATCCTCTCTCCTTCTAAGTGTTCGATTTGATTCTCTCATACTTTACATTCTTAGTTTTACATGTTTACTCATTATTTTTTAATTGATTACATTTATTTTCATGAATTCATTTAGTGTTTGGATAGATTTAGTTGTTAATGCTATGTTTTTCTCTGTTTTGAGTATCACTTGAGTTGCCAGTTCATTAAGCTAGTTTTTCTCTATTTTGCTACTATTTTCTTGTTGAATTTTGTAGCAAACTTGATTGATGAATTGTTTCTTAGCTCATTTCAAGTTTATTTTCATTATAAGCTTCTAGACCTAATTTTTTCTTTCATCAACTCAGTGAGTTTCGTTGAATTTCACTTTATATTTTTGTTGTTTCTAGTTAATTCTTGTATTTTCTTGCACTTTTTGTTCTCCAAATCAGTTTTCCTTTTGGTTCCTTAGTTAATCTTTTCAATTCCAATTTATGATCACTTGTTTTAGCATCAATTAGATGTAGATCAATTAATTCACATTTGGTTACAAGTTAGTTGTTAGTTGTAGTTTTGTGTTCTTTCATTACATTGTGCAATTTTTCTTCAACTTTTGCTTTTCAAATTGATTTCTCATGATTTTTTTTTTATATATCTTTGAAATTTCAGCTTGTTTTAAAGAAAATTTAAAAGAACAAAAATGAAAATTCAGATTTAATATACTGGTTTTTAGATGTATTCTCTTTCTATTATATGTGTGTGTTTAGGGTTGGAGTTGGATTTGTTTTGAACCAATTACTTTAAAGTTTGGGCTGTAGCACTTGTAATGTTGATAACTTATTTGTAGAAGAATTTCCTTTATTTAATGTATCCTAAAGTTGATATGTGTTAAGATACTCTTACTTGTTTATTTGAATAAAGATCTAAACGTGGCCAAAGGATTATTTTATCCCAAAAATCAAGGAATTTGGGCTTTTTCCATAAATTGGCATGATTAAAAAAGGTAAAAAAAAAGATGTTCTAGCTTCAAGCTTTTAATGTCGAAACAAAAATTAAGTTAATTGTTTTAGTATGACCCATTATAAAAAATTTAGTTTTAGGGTTCAATCTAATTATTTTGTCACACCTATAAATCACAGTCATCTTGCTATTAACTATTGAGTTTGGGAGTTATATGTAACATGCCCTTTGTGTTTATATTTCTTTCAATCAGAAACTTTTTATTGATGTCATCCCCTTGAATCTTATTCTTCTTTTACTTTTGTATCAACATGGCTAGCAATATTTTACATGTGTTTGCCAATTGGATATGTACTCAGATGTGTTTACGGTAGAATAGTAAGTTTTCTTTTCTAACTTTGTATAGGTATTTGTTAAACTGATCTCTTTAATTCCTTCCTAGTTTAAGAATAAAATAACCATCCTTATTTCAAATGTGCCAAGTTTTACTACTGTCTATATTTTATGATGCTCTATGCTCGGCCTATATGTTAATCTAAGACAACTAGTAAACAGGTTGGCAGTCATTTAAATTAGCATTTTGCATTTTGGGTGGAAACCATTGTGATGCTTCCATTTGCTATTCTAGATTTTATTATGAAGCCTTTGTAGTTGAAAGGTGTAAACTGTAGACCTATCAAATAAGATTGATCTTCTATACTTTTTTCAATTACTTTCTGATGATTCTATAATATAGTTTTTGTTGCTGCTAAGTCTAAAAAAGCATTGATCTCTATAGACACAGCTGTACCATCAATTTAAGATACAACATAGTTGAGCATAGTTGATTTATCTATTACATAATTTGCATTTTCTTGTTGAAACTCTGTTGTGTGGTCATTTTATCTTGAATGATTGGTTTATTTCCCTTTTGAAGCATTTGAATCCATTCATTTTTATGAATTTATTTACAAGCTGAAAATATGATTTGAAATGGTTTATCTTATTAACTTCATGGAATCAAATAGTTTTTATCTTTTTTCAATGCAATCAAACATGAACTTGATTGAAAATCTATCTCTCAACCTTTCGCATGTTCCCATTCCCTCAACTTATATGACACTACATTTCAAGTCTAGCAATTTCATAATGAAATATGCAAAATGGAAGAACTATGATTGTGAAAGGTATTTTCATGACATGCACTCAGAGAATGAGTGTATATTCTTTTGCCTTGTGCATTTATCTTGATCATTGGCCAAAAAATATATCTTAGTTTGTTGCTTTGGTTAAATATATTTCTCTGTTATTTCTACATGTATGTAACAATAAGATCTTGTATATCTTCCTTGATTTTATCTTGCATTACAAAATTTATAGTATTTTTTATAGCTTATTCAGTGACATTTTTCAATCAGTATAGAACATGAAGTTGTGGAGATGATAAATGAAATGTACTTGATGCATTTTTAACAACACAT